GCCACAAGAACGCTCTTCAGACCACTGCGCAAAAATAGATCGATTGGCAAATCACTGTTAGGAAGGGAAGCTGACCAGGCCGAATATGCCTGGCCGGGAGACAAAAGAGAGATCAGGTTAATAGGCTTCACAGCACCGCCCGATTCAGGCCACTCCCCCACAGGAGGAAGCACGAAGGTGCCCTTGAAGTAGCAGCGGGGTTAGATCCCGAATTTAAACCAGACACTCAGGCCTCAGGAATTACCGGAGGAAACCTCGACGACATGCGGGGACAGCGAGGACCTACTAGGATGGCGGACACCACGAAAACGAAAAAAGCAAAAGGTAAAAAAGGAAAAGGAAAAGAAACAAGCGTTCTTCTAAAGAGACACTTCTTCTTCCTCTTAAAGTGATAAGCTGGTCTATATTCGATACTGGTGAGCGGCAAACCATGCCAAAGACCAAGGGAAAACTTCCGAAAACGATCTTGCACGAGACATATTCAGTATCACATTTATTTATTTATTTATTTATTCAATACATACTGTGGACACTAAGTGGTCCAAGCAGGAAGGGCACGTCACGCATACCACAGGCGTAATGACGTACATCATACGAAAAACACACTTTGTTTTACACGCTACAGTACACTTCGTTATGTAACAACATCACGCTTCGCTCTATACACTACAATAAACTTCAATGTGCAAAGCAACAACACACCCGGTTCTACAACACTACATTACACTATGTTCCACAACACAAGTAGTAACTTACGCCAAACAACGACAATACATTGCATACCTCATACTTTACAATACGTTACACATACGTTACAATGAATGAGGTTCGCATAACTTGTTCCAGTCCGACACTGTTCGCGGAAAAAAAGAATACATAAAGGCATCGGTTGTCGCAAAAAATGGGGTTAGCAAATTGGGATGATGATGTCGTGTGTTCCTTGTTGAGAGAAAAGATAAGTAAGGCGATGAATCGATTGCAAGTTTTTGATTAAATAATATTTGAAGGAAATCCAGCCGTTATTCGCGTCTGCGGGATTCAAGGGTCTGAATGTTGTTTGCGGACATCAGCGCGGAAGGTGAATGTGACGGTAAGTATTTTGAATATATAAACCGAACAGCTTTCCTTTGAACCCGCTCAAGTTTGTTAATATTAAGCTTAGTGTAAGGGTCCCATGCAATGCTGGCGTATTCCAGTTTAGGTCGTATAAAAGAATAATAACTAAGAAGCTTTACATTGGCAGGACAGGTACGCAGTTTATATCTTAGAAAACCAAGTTTCCGAAAGGCAGCTGAACATATGTTGTCTACGTGCATGTTCCAAGACAAATTACTAGTTATAGTTAGGCCCAAATATTTGTAGCTTGTAACCTCTCTAAGAGTTGAAGACCCAAGCTGGTACGTAATACTTAGTGGAACTTTCTTACGTGTCAAACACATGCAGACACTCTTTTCTGCATTAAGGATCATCCCCCACTCATTGCACCACAGATGAATATTATGAAGGTTGGAGTTAAGTTCATTTTGATCATCTAAAGAGTTAATATCCCGGAACAAAACACAATCATCTGCAAATTATCTAATTTGTACAGAAGGGGTGATGACATTTACAATATCATTTATGTATAAAAGAAAAAGCAATATCCAATCACATGGATTGGATATAACTGAAACTTTAAAATCAGACCGTAAATATAGTGGAACACCACCTCCCCTGCCAAGACGTCTGTTAGTTTGGACGTCCGGAAACCTTGGAGATGTTATCTCACTGTCATATATGTATGTTCATTCAATCCAGTTTCTGTTACTTTAACTATGTGCGGTGAAGGGGCCGCGAGAAGCGGAAGAAAGTTTGGAAACCTATCGACTATGCTTTTGGCGCTAACATTTAGTATGCGCAAGATTTTGTTAGGATTATTCCGGAGGCGTGAAAGAGCGTTAGCGGTGATGTTAAAAGGGGCTTTTGCTGGGCGAGAATTAATCCTAACGAGGGTATTAGTGTTACGTACCACTTCCACCTAACTTGATGTATAAACGCATGGTCAAAGCTGAAGCTTACAATGAAGCCATTATTCTGAAAGGACTTCTATGCTTCCCACAGCTTCATTGTGATGATTCTTAAGCGGGAGGAACAGTCTTCGGATATGCGAAAGTTAGACCCTTCAAATTTATAGTAGTTTTTGAGGACAATCGTTTTTTCGCGATATTCGAGCAGGTTTGTAGTAATGAGGCGCGGAATTCATCTGCCTATAGACGTACCAATTTGTGACACCACTTCATATTCGAGCAATCAATTCGCAGATTTCCTTTGAACCATTCAGAGCTGTTAGACAGAAGAACGTCGTATGATTCATCATGTGTCTCAGCGAAACCATGCCGCAGAAAAACTACAACGATGACACTGGGTTTCAAGATCATCGTTACGCATAGACAGTTTATTTACGTTTATTTGTAACTGCTGAATATCGCTGTTCAAATTATTGCTGTAGAGTGGGGATGAAGGCGTGATGTGAAGTGGTTCAAATGTGAAGACACGAGGCTCCAGGGCATCAAACACATAATTCACAACTTCATGAAACTTTTTGATTTCAGCTATACCTTGCAATATTCTGTTTTACCCTTAATGAACTCGTTAAGTATTTCAGTCACTCAAAAAAAGTCAACCTCCAGAGAATCAGAACGGCCCGCCTCATCGGCAAAGAACGAATCACGTGAACGAGTGTTAGTCTTATGTAACTGAGGAGGCCCCGGATTCTATTCTACATCAGCGGACAAAAGAAGCTTGGTAACGCAGACTATAACGTCAGAGAAAAAATACATATTATCAGAGGTACAAGGAAAACCGTGTGCGCCAGACAAAAGCAGCAGGAAGCTATTATCTGAACCAATACACTCGGTATTCGTAAGGTAACATACCTTCCGAATACTTATCACCAGACTTGTGGAATGGAGTCACCTTTGTTGATCGCAGTAAACTCTACAAACTGGGCAAGGAAAAAATGACACAAAACAGATTATTACACTTCGGCGCTCCTAAGAAGTTTGTAATTTTCGAAATCGTGCATGAAAATCAGGAATGGTTGCATTGGTTTTCAAATGTGATTGACGTTAAAAAAAAAGATCATTCTCTTATTGCAGAAGCAGCAAATTCTATGTGGTCATAAAATTAGCAAAACGCCTAACTAACCCCTGAATGCAGAGATGTTACTTGGCCGCGTCTTCGACTTGACTTGAGCAAGTCGGCGCGAAGCAAGCAGCGGACTTGAAAACGCTCAAGTCGGCCTTCGCGTTTCATAGATGCTCAGGCTGTCTTGCTTGGTCAAGTCAAGAACGTGCTTCAATACAGAGACACGTTGCTCGCCTGGTAACAAGGCTAATAATGAAGTTGTTCGCGTAAGGCATGCATTACACCAAAAAAAGACCATACGTTTTAAAATAACTATAAAAACGAAGGGTCACAAGCATATTCTTGCCATTTTACGGCTAACGAGCGGCACGTGGTGCCTGCCACCACAGCGATGCGCAGTGTTGCTTCTGTAAAGCGTTCGTTGCCCGCTGGTTTTAGTGGCCACCCAAATGCGGTGCGTTTCTCCACGGTTGCTTGTTTGGAGGCGAAACAAGCATCGCGCTGGGTTCTTTCGTCTTTTTTTTTCCCAATCGAACACAATGGCATGTATTTGTGCTGAACTGGCTCACGAGGTGACGCGATTTCCACGGTATTTGCCTTTCTGTTGGCCTGTGTGCATGCCTGTAATCGGCTAGGTTGCAGTTATTATGAAAAAAAAACAAGTTCTGGGAACAAATGTGAATCGGATCCTTTTGTTGAGCTTGGTAAACAAGATAAAAAGTGGGGGTCAGGACATTGCCCTCAGCAGAATTTTGTCTCGCGGGGTGCAGCAATGCATCGCTGCATCATGGTGACGCGGATAAAAAAACCCGTGATAGGGGCACCTCTTTTTTTATGTGTGTGTATTTTACGTAGCGTTGTGCTACAAGCGATGCCATTCTGAGCGAGAAACAGTGCCCTAGACGGGACGAAAGGATAGACGAGGCACACGGACACAGCACAGTCAATTTTTTTTTTTTTACCGAAAGAGAACGAAAATGTCGTCGTGTTATAGAAAAACAGAAATAGCCTTTGCGGTTGCGGAACACTTCGGCGTTGTCAACACCAGGGCTATTAATACGCACGTATGTGTAGTCGACACAACCTGTAACGCAAGGGAACTCAGCCACTTCATAACTGTCCGCCGACTGCGGAAAGCGCACCAGCATCGCGTTACAGGTGCTTTGCGATGAGTAGCGTAACTTTTCCGACTGCACGGCACACTGTTGACTACGGAATGCGGACGAAATTTCCGGTGACTGGTTGGAATGTGCCAGCGCTGTAAAACCTGAGAGCCATCAGTAGCTGTAACACTGGATGCACGGGCTGTCTTCGGTTGTCCCCACTTTCACGGAGCGGCAACATAACGAGCAGCTGCCCCACGGCGTTCTTCATGAATCTGTACCTAGCGTGGAATTGTTGCTCGTCGTACAACTCCATCGGGTTTCCTTGGTCACGTAAAGCGGTTCCAAGAATCTTCGGCAGGCAGTGCACCTCAAAAAATGCTACGCTTATGGCGAGGCAAGCAAACTCAAAAGCGGCCACCTTTCACGCGACGTCCATTCGTGAGGTGGTCATGTTGGAATAACGCGTGAAGTCGCTTTCAAGCTAGCCCCGCAGCTGACTTGAAACTTGTCCTCACTTCGACCGAGCCAAGTCGCCTTCAAGTCATCCGCAAGTTCGAGAACGATTTATGGCGACCGGCAAGACAGTCTTGAGTCAAGAACGAGTCAAGTACGAGTCAAGTAACATCTCTGCATTCGGGGGTAAGAAATCATCTGACATGCATTCTTTAAAGTCTTTCAGAAGTAAGGATATCTAGTTTTCTTTTGACTTATTGAATTGGTGATGTTGCTCATGGGACAAACTACCAGTTTTGATTTCTCATTCTGCAGGAATGCCCTTCCCATCGGCCGTAACGCACGAGCAGCTACTCCGTGCTACGTACGCAGAAGCCGACGTCGATCCACGGAGAGTAGTGTACGTCGAGGCCCACGGTACTGGCACGAAGGTTGGCGGGCCTCAAGAGCTGGAAGCGATTAGCAACGCCCTTTGTCCACCGGGACGCGAAACACCCCTGAAAATCGGATCCGTGAAAAGCAATATAGGACATGCTGAAAGCGCTTGCGGTAAGAAGATGGAACATTTGCGAGCAATACGATTATTGACCGCCACAGAGAATTTCTTCGACTGCGCTTCTCTTAATTGTTAATTGGACGTCATCTATGATTGATGTTTTTTTTCATGAGTAGCACGTCGTTTCATGTGTTGAAATTAGTCTAACCACGCAGCTTCACTTCTGAAGCAGTTGATTCTGTAGTATCTAAAAACTTTACTTTTGACCAGAAATCTTAAACGGACACTTCTTTCTTCTTTCCCGGAAAAGGCATTGCAAAAAATTGTAATGTTATTTGGGGGTAACGTAATCAAGATGGAACTCTTTACTTAGTCACTAACTTTAATAATTGTGCAGCGGTCACTTATGCCTGATTATTGAATATATAAAAATAGAACAGTTGGTTTTCATTCAAATGCGGTACCTTTATGCCATTGCGCTCTTGGCAAACATGATAAAGAAGCGCGAATTATAGACACATCCACTTTGCTTGAACAAAAAGAACCTTTACGTCTTTCTGGGTGGTATAACCTTGCAATAATACTTCCATTCTCGGTGTATTTTTTGTGGAACACAGTCTTTATTGTAACGCAACACTCCCACCTAGACGCTTGTAGCTGTTGGTGCCGTATGGATAGAAAATAACAAAATAATAGAAGTATAGGGATACTATCATCCTAGATAATAAAGGGTTGTACTAAAACCAGCCATGGTGGTGAGCCTGCTCGCTATAGATATGAGCGCACTGTTTTGCATGCGTAAACGCATATCCTCCACTAATCTGTATATATTCTATACCGTGGAGAATCACACCGAACATTCTCTACATGCAATCGCTGTAGGCGTGATTTTTCCTGGCGCAAAAGCAAGAACATTCTCAGACGATCGAATAAATAAACATAAAGACATCCTACTATGTGAAGGTTGTAGCCCCAGAAAAATAAATATTCACGGCCACATATGCATAAATTCCCTTTCACGAGCGTGGATGTGGGCGTTTTACTATCTAGCAAACCTATATTGCAAGATAACCATCTTTTTAAACATTTGCCTGCCCAAGTGCTTTAGCGTTGCAAAACACACAATATCTTCATAAATTTCTCGCTGTCAGTTAAAATTTCACGAACGTGGCCTTGCCTATGTTCAGTTCGATTACTGTTCAATTACTGTCGAATGCTTTCACTGTTTTCAGTTAATTACAAGTTCGATAAGTACAGAATGTGAATTCCAAAAGATTCCGGAAACCTCAAAAATGTATGCTTAGGGGGTACAATAGAGATTTATTATTAGGTGTTTTGACTGTCATGCCTCCGTCGCCTTTGCAAGCGGACTTTACGTCAAAGCAGAAAAAGATTCCGCAGCAGAAAGTGAACTGTAATGGGTCATTAACCAAAGCTCGTTACTTATGAACGGATTATTCGTTACCTGGAGGGCTGTTGTTTACGACAAAAAATGTAGCACGTGACTAAAAACTTTCTGGCTTGCACACTTCTTCATTATCAAGAAATTGATGTAGTTCGAGATATTATTTGAATGTGAGTGCTCTAATCTAAAAGCGTGAAATTGGGCGCTCTAGTGAAAGCGCGATAGTGATGCTAAGCGCTATGGGCGTGCAGTAACTGTGCAATTTCGATTACGTCAAAACAGCATGTTCTAGTGATGAACTTCGAAAATGGCCCATTCGGCCAAAGCAGAATACGGTCAAACAAAATTCAATGTCATCACAACTACCCGATTGTGACCCTTATTTCTTGTTTCACTGTGAAGCTCTTCTCAGGTTTTTGTTTGTGTATTTTTCACTGTACCAAACAAAAGAGAAATGTCCACGCTTTTTTTTTACTGCAAGATAAAACTTGGCGGCAGCTTTTGGGGCGCTACTTCTCTAGGACAAGCGAAAACGAGTTCTTTGCAATGCGGTACATAGTAGCGCAAACTTGGTCATAGGAAAGAAGTAGGAAGGCGCAGAAAGGTTGGACGATAAACTTCAACTGTTTATTCGAAAGAACAGGCCATAGATAACAACTCTCTGGGCGTGCGTGGATCAGAGTCGGTAAAGAGTGCTCACAGTAGCGTGTCAAGAAGTTTGTTGCGTGTCATTGCAGTTTATCACAGTTTAGCAATGTAACCAGTAAACACGACACACTAAACGGAAATAATAAATGGTTCATTAGGTAAGTGCGACAAAATGGCGTTGATTCTGACCTAATTCTTGTTTATATGCATGCAACTTTTTGGAAGTTCACTATGTGACTACTAGTGTACCGCGTTGATTAGGGCCTGCAACTTTGACTGGCTGTAACTACTCGCCTTTTTGAAGATTTTTTGAAAAAGGTGTGCCATAAAGTGTCACGGCCAACAACTACGAACATAAACAGCTGCCCTCAAGTTGAGCATCAAAGCTATAAATGTTTGAACTTTGTTAATTGTTCATTTAGACGTTACTTTACCTGCGACAATATTTTTGCGCCTCGACGTAAAGGTTCTTCCCGAATGCGATAGTGAACTGACAATCAGAGCATTTTTATGACAAAAATTTGTGTTCTCTTTGTGAAAAAAAAACGTTCTGTGTACGGACACTAGCAGCTGCATTGCAACACTTTATATGCTTCGAGGATATAGGTTGCAAAATCTTCACAAAAATAATTTCTAGTGCTATATTATAAAAAGTATTTCCTTCGCTTGGAAGCATATTCTCCTTGTCTATACCGAACTTGATACATAGTGCTGATAATCAAAAACACTGATAATCAAAAACACTTACAATGCCGCCATTTGTTAGTAGTGGTTGCTCAATATTGTTGTGATGCGTGATTGGGCAGTAAAATGTCTGTACTTATGTCACAAATAGATCACGTTAACTAATTATAAAATATATCACTAAATCATTCTAACGATTGTACTGATATGAATGTTTGAGCTTAGTCTAATCAGTAACTTACTTTTGGCTGTCCATTAAACGCCTTCCTTTAGAATGCAATTGTCTATGTAAGTAAACACTTCTGAAGTACGTTTTCCAAAGCTATGCAAAACAGAAAGGGTCTTGAAAGAACCACTGGTGCAGCTATTGCACCAACAGCTCATAGTGCAATCTCTGGTTGAGTTTAAGATGATAAACTTTGTTGAACAGTGTCAGCAAATAGTGAATCTTTTGACATGGCTCGCTGCTTCGCGCATCTTTTAGGTATTGCTTCAATGGCAAAAGTCATCCTGACCATGGAGACGGGCACCATCGCAGCTAACCTACATTTCAAGGAGCCAAGCCCTGATATCCCCTCGCTGCATGACGGCCGCCTAGTTGTGGTTGACAGGCCAATGCCCTTCGATGGTGGTCTTGTGGCCATCAGCTTGCAGGGCATCGGCGGTACTAACGCCCATGGAATCTTCGAGCCCCATCAAGGTCCGCACGTAGACCGTCTGCAACGTGAGAAGCCGGAAATTCCGAGGCTTGTTCTCTTGGCTGGTAGAACCAAGGAGTCAATGCTGGTCAGTTTTCTTGCACATTATCGCACTATGAACCACCGACCGGCAGTGGAACGTGGTCCTTCAAGTCATGCGTCCACTACTATCGACTGCATCTGTTAAGCGTAGGCTTTAGTGTTTGGCATCTTCCCTTCTTTCTACCGCTCTCTTTTCATTCTTTCTTTTCTTCAGTGTAGGATAGCAAACAAGAGGCTCATCTGGTGGATCTTCTGGTCTGTTTTTACAGTGAAATCTGTTATTAAATCAGAACACGGGTCCCGTTGAACACCGTAGTTGTCCGCCGCCGCCACTGCTGCCGCTGCTGGTGCCTTTAACTAATATCGCTAGAAACGAAACAAAAACTCTCTAAATGAAAAACACCTTGCTATCCCAGTGCGTTTCAGTGCGTTGGGTGACACTCGAAACGCTGTACACTGTGTTTCAGTGTACTAAAGCGTGCTGAGAGCCACTGGGACACACTGTACAGCGTGACCAGTGTCTCCCAGTAATCTGAAACGCACTGGGCCAACCTGTACAGCGCAGCACAGTGTCTTAAAGCGCACTGGGGGGCACTGGTGACGCTGTAGTTTCTACCGCACACTGGAAATATTAACGCCATATGGGAAGAAGTTATTCACCATCGGCGCACAATCTATAAGACTTCATATTGAATCGCGAGATGTCGAACGTAAAATTTACCGAATATGATGGTATTCTTATCTATGTGTTAGACATATATAGCGTTAGTTTTAGTCACGCATAGAACGTGCGAGTATGCTAAAGCAATCATCTGTCGAGCGCGTGGCTCAGGGGCACCGCCCAGATTGTACTAGGGGGGGGGGGGCAGGCAGACACAGAACTTATGCGTCATGTTTTTACTATGCTTGCTCTTGGGGAGGGAGGGGGGAGGTGTGCAAGCGAGAAATTAGAAAAGAAAGGCTCCAGCTCACCGATGCACCACCCCCCCATGGCGTGGGTGCGCTTTTCTTGAAGTGTGATCGAGTTTTATTAATATATTTCATAAATGGCATCGATAGAACTGATCATTCTCAACACAGTATGATCGTAGTATCAGTCTAATAATCAAAACCAACGTACTCTAGTAATCAGCCGTTTTTGCTCATACCGCCGAAAGCCACACGTCCCCGGAGGCAGTTAGCCGCTGCGATGCCCGAGTCCAAGTTACTAGCTTCTCCTTTGTGTAGCTGAAGATCAAAACATGACCAGTCATGAGTCAGTTATGATCGAAACTACATTCTAGCGGTTGTTCGACTCTTCGTAACTGAATATCCACGATCTTCACAGCGACCATGGCACACGAATTACTAAGCCTATTAAGCGTTTCCGCTAGAAATAACTGCTGCGGCTGTCGTACGCGCAACGTTAACAAGGAGGACACAAAATACTTGCAAACGAGTGACAAAATTTGCAATGTCCAGTGAGCAGTACCAATCCACACCGTTTTCTACATAGGTATGACTAACCGCATAGCGAGTCACTGCGGTTGCCTTAACACATCTGTGGTAACGCTAGTAAGTTTTGCAGCAAAACGTGCTAGATAAATGTGATTCAAAGCAACTCATCAGAAATAAGCTAACAATCACCTGTCAGGTTAGCATGAGCACGAAAACACGAAACTACGTTTCTAAACGGTGAAATCAAAATATTGTATACCTGAATTAGCTTTAAGATGAAAAAAGTCACAGCTTTGCCGCAAAGTCGAAGCAATGAATGCGATAGCAACGTATTAGAAGGTCACGCGCAGAATGGCAAGCAGATCGAAATGTGCGCCGCGTTCGTCACACACAAATAACGCACGAAACGTACTCAGAGATACGGATAAACGCGAATAAGCGTCTCAGTTGTTACTTCGCTGTGTCTGAAAAGCGCGCTCATTTCACCAACAAAGACTGTGCAAATCTTGCAGGGACCTTTGTGCACCCGGTAACTACAACAGAATTGTTTCGGTGAACGCTTAAGGACAGTCAAGACATAAGATGCTCCCAACTGCGAGATAAGGGCACGTGAGTGTGCGTTCTGGGGCTTTACGACCACCCACTCCTCTCTGCGAGGCAAAGTACGCGTAGAAATGAGGACGCGCGCCACCGCGCGCTCAGTGCGCGATCTTGCTGTTAATGCTAAAAACACGATTGTTACCCCCCCCCCCCTGTTGCCCATAACCAGCTGTGTAAGGTAGATTAGATACCCCTCGCACTCACGATGCAGAGGTTCCAAATTCGATTCCGCATGCCGGAGTCTTTTTCTTGATTTTTTTTTTCTTTCTTACGTTTTTATAACTATATATACGTATACATATACTGTTACTGACGGCAAAGCCAGCGGCAAAATTCAGCCCGGAGTGTCCTCATAATCGCTTCAGTGATGAAAATACGTTTAATATCTTCTTTTGGGTGTGGCGAAGTGGACAGCGTGTTAAATCGTGGTGTGTGATGCGTTAAGATAGTGCCTTCTACTCCAGCTCACTCACTTTTTTTATCTACACTGCTTATTCATCCTTAATTACGATGTCCACTTGACCAAAATTTTTAAAAGCATTTTAAAAGCAGGATTTTGACCGATATTGTCTGTCCCAGTGTGCAGCGCGCAGCGTGTCTCGTGCAGTGTGCCGGTGTCACGCTGTCCAGCGACGCACTGGTCTAGTGATCAGCTATGGCGCTGGGACAGTGCCAAGCGGTTTTGTGATAGGCTTAGGACACAATGAGATTCGACACGGGTCCGCTGTGTGTCAGTGCAGCATTCTACAACTGAGCCACACCTGCGCATGGAACTCGCTTTTGAATTCGCCTTAGGCAGGCTTTATGTCTGGAATGGAACCGTTCTACTATAAGTAATAAAGTGTTTGAGGCGCTATTTTCTTCTCGAAGAGCCAAACGCAGAAACCGAAACTAGGGTAATCCTCAGTGGAACATAAAGCATGCCTAAGCATCTTCAAGTTCTAGAACAGTTATAAACAAACTGGGGCAATTCCTTATTGTAACACGAGCTCTAAAAGGAAGTTTCTGATGAAAAATGAGCCAACTACTCCAACTGTTTCAATCAAAGTGAGCCAAATTCATTAAACCAGCACTACGCAAACAAACATGATCAAAATAACATGGTCTGACCCAAACTGTTTCATTTGTGTTTTAGTTCCTTTGTTATCGTGTTTACGTTCCACAACTAGGTTTTCTAGCGCGAATTGACACTCACTGAAGGACGTGATGTTTAAAGACAAAACTCGATAATAAAAAGTAAGAGGCTTACTTGCCTACTTTTTTTTGCATCTAAGTGATTGTTTCGACTTTAGCGCAACAGTATTTTGTCCCGAGTTCACTCGAACACGGTATATTCGAAATAAAGTAAATATAAAATACCTATCTGACACGTATTTATTCCCTAAATAAGAAGAAGAGATCAGAAATGGCAAAGCCTAAAACTAACTCGAACACTTTTTCAAGGTCTTCTATTGATGCCAGCAACAAAAAAAAACACCGATGAAAGTCCAGAATAGTGCCCTCTTTGCAAGGAAGCACAACTCGCTCTTCAGGGCTAGCAATCGCCATTATGCTCATGCGTCGAAGCGCGGCAGCGACGGAAGCACAAGTTTTGTGTCAATTCTATCGCGATATAGTGCTAAAGTGTACATTGGAACCATTTGACACTTTTTTTCATAAGCTAGTTCATGTACAAATGAAATGTTTCATTTTATATGAGCTAAATACAAACTTTACTCCACAATACTGACAAAATTTGGCTAAGTACATTTTAGCCACAATGAGAGAAACATGCTAGCAAAACGTTGTTTGAGCAGGCCCAACCATAATGTCAGTAGAAACAAGGCGTTTCTCTCAGTTTCATTTAAAGTGCATTTGGCTCTTTTATAAAAAATGCCTTGTTTTGGAATAAGAGAACAATACAAATTGCGTAACTATTGTGTCGTCATTGCTATAAGTCATTACAAAAAGTTCCTCTTGATCATGTATTAACTGCGGCGCATACCCAATTCAGGCATAATTATTCATCGTCGTCGTCCACGGCATGAAAAATATTGCAGAAAAATCCTAGTGTGTGTACGGGATACCACGCTTCACCAAAGAATAACGAAGGATAGCTTAGGGAATGCTGCTCTACTGCACAGAAGTTATGATTCTTCATGAGCATTGTGTATCCGGCAAGTGTGTTTGTAGCAGTTACCCAAAGAGTGTTTAGAAAAGGCTCTGAAGGCCCGCTCTTCCAGCTGTCACTATGAATGCGCTGCGCGCTTCGTTGGGGCCTGGCGGCTTTTTTCCTCTTCTTGCTCTTATCTCAAAAGCTAAATAAGGTTGAAAAGAGCAGGTAAACATTTTCTATTAACTGTTCATGTCAGATATTATATTTTCTACTAGTAAAATAAAATGCTATACTTGAAAAATTCAAAGTGTTATGCAGGCTGCTTTGTGATCAAGATTAGTAGGTTGCCGAGTTATGATGGCCTGCCAGCATGTGGTTGTTTCTTTAAGAGAACCGTCAGTCAATATTCTGTAACGTGTATTGCATTCCGAAGACGGTAGCAGCTAACTAGGCCATAATTTCGCAGGCACCTTCCGATGACAGATATTGCAATTTCAACCGTCATGATATCAAGTTGTTCCTAAATCAGCATCAGACAATATTACGTATGACAAGCTTGCTAATTTAATTGGCACTAGAAGTTGCGATAACACTCACACAGTTACGCAAAACTCTGGTGTAAATGTGTCTCTAAAGACCCTCAATAGTTGAACCTCAGGTCATCTGAGATACAGCCTTTTTACTCCAGCGTACACAGGGTGTCCCACATAACTTGAGCCAAGAATTTGAAATTGAAAGGCGGCACTTGGGAGGCGAATTGAGCCAAACGCATACTACTCACAGTAGCCTGTAGGTGCTCAGGGTATTTTTATTTCTCCCCATACTAAATATTTATGGTTTTTAATTACCTATTTTTTTAATATACGCTAAAAAGAAAAAATACGAACACTAAGATGTAGAGCAGTTTCAGAAATCACCAACTAAATGGTTTCCTGTACGATACGTCTCGCGCTGTTATTTTTTCCACGCAGTAAAGAAAGCCCGTGAAATGTGAAAAAAAAAAAGCCGTGTGACGGACAGCCAGCGCGCTGGTGTAGTGCTGCTATAGGATTTCTTTAAAACACTGTTGTACCATGTACCTTCTGCCAGACGGGCTCAGCCAACGCGTTTTCTAGAGATGTGATTGTTGGTAGTTGTCGCGTGTTTTCACTCGCACATACAAAATACAGCGCATTGGGCTTTCACTTTTCAATTTATATGGAACAGGATGGCGAAACCGACATGGGCGCAAAATAATGCGCCTAAATAGCCCCCACAATTGCCATCGCAGTGAATCGAAGGGAAATTTTCGTTGACGTAACGCAGTGACGTACTAGGGACGCTAACATGTTGCAGACATTGGGCGCACTGTACAACCACGGTCTCATCTGTGTACAGTACGTGAGCAGCCGGGTTTCGCTCAGCGGGGTGGTACTTTGAGGTAGTTATGGGCTCTGAAATGGTGTATCAGGAGCATGCACAGCCTCGTTATCGTGCTCACCACGCCGGAGCCCGATACTGCCTCAAGTTTTCGTACCGCAGAGCACAAACCGGCTGCTCGCGTGCTCTACAGTGACGGGGCCGCAGCTGTACTACTAACGCAGATACGAAGTGAATGTGCTGTCAGCAGTACAGAATAGCCAAGCACTGTACTATTAATCTTACAAGGTGGCTGATGGTGTTTTCTTTCATACTTTATTTAGCGCACCCTGGATCGAATAGAAGCCGAAGGGCCGTACCCAGACCCCACCTACGCCCTGCTGAATCGTGTAGGCCAGCCAAGCACGAGGCAGTTCCCCTGTCGAGCCTTCGCCATCGTCCCTGTGGACGATTCGGCAAGGGAGATCGTTAAAGCCGTTCAGGATGTACCATCAGAAAAGCGTCCCTTGTGGTTTGTGTTCACAGGCTTAGGCTGCCAGTGGTATGAGATGGCGAGTCAGATGATGCAATTTGACATCTTCGCCCGCTCAATCCACCAGTCTCATGCAATGCTACGGGATAAGTTTGGCATTGACCTGATAGACCTGGTGACCAGTGCCGACCCACGAAACAAGTCCATCGTTTCATTCGTTGTCGCCATTACTACCGTTCAGGTGAGTAGCGATATGCACATGTAAATCGTGTGAACTTGAACTTGTCAGTGTACATTCATTGTAAACAACAACGCGAAAACAGCATGGAAGAGAAAGCACTCTGTCCTGTTTCTTCTGTCTTGCTGTTTTGTGATGTCTCTTACTATTAGTAGTGAAATCACACCGTTCATTGTTGATACGAATTTGGGATGTAATGTATCATATTTTAAAACAAGCGCGCATGGGAAACATTCCTAAACCTAAAGAATGCATCACATTGCGCTTAAAATTTTGAAAGAATTATTCAAGCGCCGTTTGAAACGGGTTCCAGTTTCGCCAACGGGATGAAATATCCGAGGGTGGAACTGAGAAGTCTCTCATACGGCCTTTCAATGGTCACAATCCACGTGACATAAGTGTTTTCATGGTAAACCTCATGGGCGCACGGTACAATGCAAGGTAACTGTCTTGCCAAAACAGCAGTCATTCGTCTGTAAGCGAATTTTATTTGCACTGGAAAGATGAATTTCCCGAGTGATTTCTGATTTGAAAATATTCAAGACAAACTTATCAGAAATGAACTCAGACGTTATCATAACAACAAGGCGTAATTAGGGAACACGTTTTACGCATTTCATCGCGTATTTTGTTATTACACTACTTTTTCCACACTTCTACGCTCTGTTTACCTAAGAACTCATAATAATTAAAAATATTCATTGAAACCTTTACATAACTTTAGATATATCGTAATGACAGTCACTGGCCTGAAGGCGAATGTAGTGGGGCAAACTTCAATGAAGTTGTGTCACATTACATTCAATGCATCACCCACTTTTTCAAGTGCCTTTTCGTCTTGTTCAAGGTTGAACAACATTCTTTCTCAAATATTCTTAACTTTCTATAACAACATTTTTTCTCAAATATTCCTAACTTTCGATAGTGATACCAGGCGATTACAATATCGTCTAAGTAACAATTCTATTTTGAACTGCTTCGTTAGAGATCAATCTTCTAAGTGTTTAAAATCATGCTGTAGTTGTACTATCGTGATTTTATTGCACAGTTTGGGCTATGTTATGGAAGAGAATCAATCATTTGTTCACCATATTCTTTTCTGTTGCCTACCTTTCTTTGTTTAGGACAAATCACTCAGCCTCATAGACATACCAAGATTTAATAAACATACATATGAGCGTTCTTCACAACTCTGCGCCGCACGCCAATTTTAGGAGCCTTTCTGCGTCACAGGTTGCGCTGGTGGACATGCTACACGCTATAGGCCTCAAGCCAGACGGCATTGTGGGACACTCTCTGGGCGAGGTTGGCTGTTCCTATGCCGATGGGGGCTTAAATGCCGAACAGGCAGTTCTATCTGCCTACTGGCGAGGTCGCTGCACAGAACTGAAGAATCCACCTAAAGGATCTATGGCTGCAGTAGGCAAGTACATATTGTTATGATTATGTTGCACTGTTCATTTTCTATGACGCTTAACATGTCGAATTGATTCCTAAGGCTGCTAGAGACGCCGCATTACTACAAGGTTTCGGATTATTCTGTCTACTGCGGGTCGATCCTTGACATGCAGCAAGATCATTTCACCTCTATGTAAACACGATCACCTCGTCTAAGATCTAACCCAAGTTCTGGCCTACTTCGGCTTAGCGAGCGAGCCCCATAAATACTAGGCCACTTTCTTGTTGATTCTTTTAAATGTGAAGCATTTCTTAGCAAACTTCGCAAATTTGAGCGTATCTACCTATCTATATATCTAGCCGCATACGTTTGCGTGCTCTCAAGGTCACCCCCTTCAATTGGCGTGAAAGAAAATTAGCATGAGAGGGTAAGATGGTTTCACGAATATGACCCGCTGGTCAAGACATGAATATTGTCACAATCCCGTCGCATACGTCGTCAAAGACTTCCCGCCAGACAGTGGCACATACGCACGGGCGGGTATGTGCCGCTGGTATTTGCCACAGGTGGTTGACGCTTAGTATCTACGCAGGAACGACGATAACTCAAAAAGGCAATTTTAATGCGTGAGTGTTAAGGAATTAACAACATCGGTAGCGTCGACCCAACGAAGGCATAGAATAAATGTCAGTGTTAACAAAAACGTGACATAGGCAGCGTAGACCCCGCGACGAATGCAAATAATAAACTTCAGGGTCCCAGCTGGAATCGAACCCAAGCATTCTGCGTAGCAATGAAGCATTCTACCACAGAGCTACGACAGGTCTCGGAAATGTTGTTCAAATAGACGCTAATCTTCGTGAAATGTCAATAGTGGTTACAGTGCTGCCTACCCAATTTTCTAAGCATTACATAAGCATTCCTTTGATACGGCCGTCACGTGAGGTTAACGTGAATTGTGATTAGTTACCATGCGCTGAAGTTGATTTATGTAGCAGTATCCAGGGTCAGCACCTCCGTGAGCATCAGCGCTCCATATCTACTTCCGGTGTTGCTAACACGCATGTTCTAGTTGGCATCGTTACGCAAGTGCAAACAACTTGTTTTATAAACATCTGCAACTCTTGAACATATGTCTGTGCGTGCAACATTTGTACATATATTTAGCATCATTTGATGACGTGTCGCTCAATTGAAAAATGCAACACGGTCACCTTTCCTCCGCATGCTTTGCATAACGTCAATTCCAAGGTACGTGGGATCTGCCGAATTTTTTTCTGTTAGGCTCCTTAGCAAAATGTGCTATAGTCGTTCTTTCGGCTTCGTCGCTATTGGCGTAAGTGAACTGAGAACAATACCCTAAGTCTTATAAAGGTGTGGCTCTTCGCGCGCCTGATACAAAGTGCGGAGCAAATTAGGGGCGCGGGAACTCGTAAGCTGTTGTCGCTTGGTGTAGAACAAGAAAATCTCGTATGATAATGCGAAAAAATGAAGTAAGAGAGAAATATACAAAAAAAGACAGAAAAATTAGCATGAAAACTGATGTAGAGAGAATTGTTACAGAAAACGGGTCAAAATTGACAAAAACAGGAAAAGTAAAAAAAAGGAGGTAGGAAAAAATAGACAAACAAAGATGCCCAGATCCACAATTTTGGGGGGGCTTCGCCCTACTTCTTTTCGCTCAAACGATATCGTCTTCCAAGACGATTTCCAAGTAACAATAACCGTTTGAGATAGCGGGAAGGCAAGAAGGCAGAAGCAAGTGCCTAGGTTAACCACAAATTTTGTTCTGTGAAGCAGGATCTGTAGAAATTCTATCGTATCATAGTTCCCGCAGAAATCCTGCTTCTGTGAGTGTATTTGCTTTACAATAAACATTTGGCTGGCGCATTGCTTGAAGAGGAATTCTTTCATTTCGTCCGACATATAGTGACAATACACAGCGCCATCATCTTAGCTATATTTAAAGGACCATAAAGCCACTAATAAAATCGGCCAACTGAGATGTCGAGAGATCAAGTTAGGGGCTAAGGGCACACGACAGCACGCAATTATCTCACTCCTCTTTTTGAATCAGGCATTTCGCCGTGCTCCCGACCGGGTTGCAGAAATTAGGTGCCTTTTCTCATTTTCTAGCCACTACCACCACCACCCTTTTTGAATGTACCAATGAAAGGTCTCTCGGAAATGCCCGCGTGAAGGCACAGATGGAGAACATACTCAGATTAATGACACGAGTCTCGTATCGCAGAGCTGGCCTCTGTCAGAGCAGTCTCCTGAGGAGATATAATGCATTTTTTATAGGCAAGCAAACTGCAATGCATCAGCGCTGGAATGGCCCGGCTCGGAGGAAGTCAAAATTGATGCACTTATCAGAAAAATATCAGATGCATACTGGAAATCCCGGTTTGCACTGTCACAATGAAGCTGCTTTAACTAAGGTTGCACAATACCTTCACTGAGGTGAACGAAGCGCAAACAATGACGCAAACACCATGTCTCTCGTCTTCGAAGGCAGGCAGAAACATCTAAAATCCCGCAGGTCTGGTGGCCTTGGCCATCGACTACAAAGTCACCACGCTCTCTCACAGCAAAAGGGATACGATTCAGGTGACCTCTTTCCCAAGAAATGTGCACCCCCCATATAATGTTGCTAGACGTAAGACACGATCCCGCTCCCTCATTGACTATGCGCACAATAGCCTTGATCTCACTACTTACATAGATGTTGCACAGTGTGGATGCACCAATTCATTTGTAGCTGTTGTAGCTGATCCACATGGGACAATCTTCAGTTCAGCTTCAATAACACATGTCACGGTGGTGGCACTGAACAAGCTGCCCTCGCGCGAGCTATTATTGACCCCACACGGCCTCAGATCTACACTGACTCGATATCAGCAATCCAGCTCTCCTTATGTGGTCTAATTTCAAACGAGTTGGTGGTTATAATAAAGCAATGACCGCCTGATGTTTTTCACTCTATCACATGGTTCTCAGTGCACATGAGCATCAGTTTACAGTTGGCCAAATCATTACCTGTCGTGGATGAGTGATATTTTGGTATGTTTGGCATACGACTGGACTAACTTTCCATTCAATTTGGGACAAGTGTATGCCCCTAAAGCACATGGCCACGAAGCGAGTTTTCGTAGCTTCATTCCATACTGTGGCGCTGACATACAAAGAAGTGGCTGCTGCGCACAATAGCTAAAGTTCTGACTGTACATTCCAGCAAACCCCACCCTAATTACCTATTTCCTGACCAACTGTGACGTCTGACATTCCGCGATGGTCCCGATGTGCTAGACAATCCAGGTTGGAAGCATAACACCGACCCATTACTTCTTTTTTATGAAATAGATAAACACTGTCAGCTTCGGCGCAGAAAATTCCCGCTCCCGTACCCACTGCTTACCAGACCTCTATCTTCCCTGAGAATGTTACAAAGAAGATCTTTCCCGCTGAGAGGAAGGTTTGGTTGCTTGGCTCCGGACATCGATCCACACTGCCCCGAGTGCCATGAAGAATATTTCCTCGTCAGCTCACGTGCTCTGACAGTGTTCCGTGTTACAAAGTGCCTCTTTCAATAAACAAGAGGACTGAGAAGAAGGCCTCAGAAATGGCGATGTTCATAAACAACGAAACATCATGATCCTCCGCCGATTCACGGTCCAAAGGGCCCACGAACGGGCGGAGTGTCACGGTCTTTGCATGCGACAATCAACTCCCATTCCAATAACGCCAATGTCTAGGTGTCCACATCTGTTAAATATACTGTATTTTGTTTGAACATAGCAAAATGTATTTCTAAGAAGAGTGTCTATGTGATATACAGCTAAAGGGAAAGCAGTACATAACAAAGCCAAGTGAGGTATAGGTAATTTGAATCGTACTGTTTCAGTTAGGTGTAATGTTAGAATTGTGTAATAATTGTGAAATAGATGAGAAGAAAGTGAAGTGAATGAATAACCAACCTTCTGCTGACAGAGAATAAACCTGCGACTTTCGAAATGTAGCAGGTCACTGGTGCGGTCCCTCCCACCAGCAAGTTGTTTTTTCGTCTATTTACTTTTTCTTTGCATTTATATCACAATTTTTTCAATATACTTAAAACAGTACCATTCACAACCGCATTACGTTCTTTGGCTTCATCATCTCCTGCATTTTTTTATGGTTGTGTCATTCAAAATAACGAGCCCAAGAAAATTCTCTTCATTTTTGCAGCTGACGGGTGACTTATACTACTCAGGTAAAACTGTGCAAGAAAACTTAGTTTATTACCGAAATGTTTATGTAGGACTTACATGGGATGAAGTGACGAAGAGATGTCCCCCTGGTGTGTACCCTGCATGCCACAATGCGGAAGACTCTGTGACTGTGTCCGGTCCCACCGAAGCTGTGGCAGAGATGGTCGCACAACTCAAAGCCGAGAACATTTTCGCTCGCAATGTTGACAGCTTGGACGTGGCCTTTCACAGCAAGCACGTCGAACATATTGGGCCTAGCCTTCTAGAAGAGCTGAACAAGGTGACATACTTTAAATATAGCAATGACCTCTTGTATATGTTCCTGGAATATTCGAAAAGACGGAGTTGCAGTATATAGAACTGATGCAAAATTGCTGCCATCGGTTGGCCTTCATGTGCATAGGCAGCAAACTTGAGGCTCAGCGCGCGCAGTACGCAAGGCAACGTCTGTACAGGTATATGTCATTACGTATGCGTAAAGCCCATCAACGTCACGCGTGTATTGCCTAATAATCGCAATACCGGTCTATTGCTGCGTTTCCTTCTGCACACAGACAGGAACTCAGAATGCCGAAGGAAAAAAGGTTCGCCATAAATTTTGCCTCTTGTCATTTTTTCAAGCTGATGAAGTCTCCAACGTGTGCTCGGGCTACTGCTCCCAAAACGAGTCTTTGAGTTCTCTTTTGTAAGCAAAGAAGTTGTGCAATAGCATTTGTACTTGTGCTCTCACAAATTGCTGCTCACCAAAGCAACACAACTTTTGCATTGTTTTCACTAGCAGCCGTTTCCCAAGGTGTGGCGACTCATACGCTTCACGCAGAAGCCACCTTCACACAACGAGCTTTATCGAGGACGATTGCGTGCCTGCATTTCGAATGTGCGTTTTTGGTCATTACGTTTCAATAACAGCACACGCTGAATTAGAAGCAAGTGCTCGTGATCGGTTCATTGTCAGAAGGGGGCGTCGGTGCTAAGACATATTTATTTGTCATTTTGTTTTCTCTTCTAGAGGGTGACCACCTGCCGTTCAGGGGGATGACCTGTGCCGGACTGCGCAAGTTTTTCAAGCAGTCGTTGTCTTCGACACATTCAACGAAATTCATACACGCGCAATTAGTCGCGATAACGCTCGTTGCGAAAAAGTGTCATCTGCGTGAATCATACCAGTCGCTTTTGCTTGGTAAATGGCTGCTAGCAAAAACGTTGCCAATTTTGTCTTGCCCAGGTATGCAGCAGTTTGTGGGCACACAAGTAATAATGCTATTGCACCAATAATTTGCTTAGAATAGTGAACGTAAAGACGTCTTTCGGGAGCACTTGTTGGAAACGTCATCAGCTTGAAAAAAATAACAAGGGGAAAAATGTACCACTTACCACTTTTCTTTCCGCATTTAGAGTTCCTCTCTGTGTCCAGCAAGAACGCAGCAACACGTCAGCTTTTTGATGACGAGCCAATAGATGCCTCGCGTCAATACACTTAACGTATACGTAAATACGTGTACGCAAACGCGCGTGGCCTGCACGTACTGCGTGAAGCTCCGCCACTAACATGGCGGCTATGAGTGCGATGGCCGAGAGATTGCCACAATTTTGCATAAGATCTATAGCAGATAGATTGATAGCGGGGTGTAGGTGGTTCATAAAGTCTTCATATGAACACCTGTGTTGTGTTATTTTCACAAAACTTTGAATAATGTACCATGACTCACACTCCCAAGTGTGGTCTGAAGTTGGAAGTACCTTTTAATTGTAATGATACTGCATGAGAGATTCAAGTTGGATTTTCCGGAAAATGTCTTCTTCTTAGTTACATAGGATAAACTTCTATAGGTTATTTCACACTTCTCGCAGTCTTATACAGCATGGAAATACTAGTCTTTGTTCACTAATGTTTACACGAAGTAAAAGAATGTCTTATGTAGTGTAGCTTGTCCCCCACTTTATATTCGTAAGCACCGATTTGTCCTATGAAGCTGTAAATATTTGTTTATTGAGATGCAAGTGTGGATAAGAAAAACTACTTAAGCATTATCACTGCGTAATGCCATACGAATATAATGCAGCAAATTCGCTTGTCTATTTAGGAGTTAAAACATGCATATAGTGCAATATTCTTAGTCTTGATCAAATTCCTAGGCTGGTTGCAATCCGAATTATTCAGCGACAATACCTCCTGCCGTTACTATTGGGCACGAGATTCACCAGAGTCGCCGCCTGGCGGCGACTGGCTGACGAGGCAAAGCACACCTACCAACAGCACATGCGTGCAGTTGGTGCCTGTACAACTGTGGCACTGTAGTTTCATTGATCACGGAAGGAGCCTTAGTTGTGTTTATCTGGCCGTAGAACCACTACATAGAAATATTACTATCACATAAAATTTGAAACATCGGTACGTAAACTGTACTTAAAACAGAGTAACAGTGCGCAACTGTGTGCCTAGATTTGAGAACGCTTCGAAGAGCCCAGACGTTGATAATTAATTCAGACGGTATGCCCTTTATATAATGCAGTATAATTTCACTTATCTTTTTTACATTGTCGTCAGCGTTTGTGTGGCATAGTTAGTGACCGATGGAATACAGTGGTCACTTTTTTGTCTAAAAAAAAGTCTTGCCCATTAACCAGTCTTTTTTTTGTAGCACTGTCATGCATGTAATCCAGCAATGAAAGCTTTCTGCAGAACGCTTATATAAGACTTTTGTATTTTTACTTCTGCAAGGACATACGCGTACACGTGATAGACGCAGCGTATAGCGCAAAGCGAGGTCCGTCACACTGTGCTTTCCTGACTAGACTCTACGACTGTCCCTCATTTCGTGGGAACAGAATGAAAGAAAAAAATCATATGCGTATAAGGTCTGAACGGTGTTACTGAACTAATTGCACAGATATGCGCGCATTCTGCGATCTTTCTTTCTCTTTTTTTGTAGTATGCAGACGACAAAGATGTAAAGAAGCGGTTCAGTCACGCTACAGCAGTGCGTAGCAGACGGAACACAAGGTGACCAAGTTAAAAAAATATTGGCCCGAATCTACATGTTACACTGTAAATTTCGTCGAAAGACGATAGTCTTGCGTCTAGAGAGAGTGAACAAAACATTTCTTTGATGTTCTGCGCAAGAAAATTGGTGAATGATATTCTGCATGCGCTGCGTTAGAGTGCCTCGAGCGTGTGGCGGAGGCGAACGAGCGCATCTAGGCACGTTAGACACAAGTGCCATCTGGCAGTTATCTTCGAAAACGAAGGCGTGCAGCCAGCGGAGAAAGATACGCGCCAGTCTCGGAGGTGATATGGTGTAGAACGCAAAGTGACAGGCAGGTGCCACCAACGTGACGTCGTAGCAAAGCGTTAGAAACACCTTTTTGAGCATCTCGTTGCACTGGCAGCGCTGCGCGATTAAACACTACATTCCTTAGAGTCACTTTTATTTTTATTTTTTTTATTTTATTTTATTCATACTGTTAGCATACATGCCAAAACAGGAGTTGCTTATCTGGGCACACAAATTTCAAAAGTCAATGCAAAAGTGTAATATCCTACAATTTGACACAAAGAAAGCAAAAGCAATGCAAAAAAATAAATAAAAAATCCAACACTCAATGCGCACCCTGCAGCATAACACGGCAGAACACAGGTGAGCAAGTGAGTGCCTTATCACAGCTCAGTTCAACATTTGAAACGCACATTCAAAATCTTTAACATTGTTACACAGTAGAACGTCATTCCGTAACTTATTCCATGTGTCAATAGCGGATACAATAAAAGAATTTTTTAACGATTTTGTGTTATGCTTCAGAGGTTTAATGTGTTTGGTGTGCTTTGTCCGTGAATGCGACGTGTCTAGAGTGAAAATTATTGTTATCTCTGTTTTGTAGATACCGTGGAATATCTGAAAAAAGAATTCCATGCTGTTGATATTCATTCTTTCGTGCAATGTAAGAATATGAGCCCTAGTTCTTAGACTTGTTACGGACTGCGTTCTACAATAGGAGTTAAAAATAAATCTTAAGGCTCTATTTTGAACCTGTTCACATTTAGCGATATTATTTTGCATATATGGCTTCCATATCGGGCATGCATATTTCAGCAACGGAAGTACTGTGGTTTTATATGCTATAAGTTTTACTTCAGGTGTCGCGTCACCAAGCCTCCGACGAAGCATCCAAAGCTTTTTTTTTGCAATTTATCACAGATATAATCTATATGGCGGTTCCAGTTCAAGCTATCTGTGACGTAAACACCCAGGTATTTATATTCTGACACACGGCAGAGTGGTTCGTCATTTATGACGTAACGAAATAAGAGAGGCTTGGTTTTTCTTGTAATCGGCATAAAAAGTGTTTTGCTTGAGTTCAACACCATTTGCCACTTTTTCCACCAAGATTTGATTGATTTGTTGTGTTTAACGTCCCAAAACCACCATATGATTATGAGAGACGCCGTAGTGGAGGGCTCCGGAAATTTTGACCACCTGGGGTTCTTTAACGTGCACCCAAATCTGAGTACACGGGCCTACAACATTTCCGCCTCCATCGGAATTTTTCCACCAAGAGCCTATCATGCCCAGATGTTCATTAAGCTTTTCCTCGTCGTGGTTCGATTCTGCCTTTGAATAGATGACTGTGTCATCAGCATAGTGCCTAATGAAAACATCGGGCGAGAAGCCGCTGTTCATATCATTGATATATAGTAAGAACAGCAGTGGCCCTATGACAGAGCCCTGCAAAACTCCTGAACCTACCGACTAGCTCGTGCTGTTTGTGCCCCTAATGCAAACCACTTGCTCTCTGTTTATCAAATAAGCCACTATTCAATTTATGAGCTCATCATTCTGCAGGATCGTGCTAAGTTTAGCAGCAATTTCGGATGTGGTATTTTGTCAATTGCTTTTCTGAAATCGAGAAAAATAATGTCAACTTGCCCTCTGTCATCTGAGATTTGACTAATGAAATGTGAATCCTCGCTGAGAATTGTCACTGTCGAGAAACCTCGCCTGAAACGATGTTGTTGTTCTGCCATTAGTTTGTGCTCTTCGAGAAATTCTGTTAAGTGCTTAGTAAGTACATGCTCCAGTGTTTTACAGCACGTGCTTGTGAAAGACACAGGCCTGTAGTTGTTTACACAGTCTTTAGCACCTCCTTTATGAATCGGTATGACCTTGGCACATTTCCAGTCATTAGGAACCTGTCCGTCACGCAAAGATTTTTTAAATATATCAGTGAGATAGTAAGAGCACCATTCAGCACACCTTTTTAAAAAGACATTCGGGATGCCAT